CCCCCTACACACACACACAGGTGCTCACGTGCAGGGAGGCTAGTCTGTATATTTCTGTATATGCCTTGGTCTGTTTCTGCCCGTGCATAAGTCCCAGGGCATCTCCTCTCGGTTCATCCCTCTGTGTTGTGCTTCTCGCTGTGAGTGTGTGAGCTGTGAGTGCATTTCTCCATAAGTCCATGTACAACCACAGGAATGCTTCATGCACACGTACATCTGTGTGTGGCTCTGCTCACTCCATGTATTGCTATGCATGTCCACCTGCCTGTGTGTGCGTCTTCTGTGGAAATGTGTGTGCACATACAGTGTGCCTGGGCCTGCCTCTGAGCATTTGTCTGTGGCCTCTGTATTCTGAGGTCTGGGATAGGGGGCTCTTTTATTCTCCCTTTTTAACCCAACTGAGCTGGCCAGGAAAGGGGGCAGGGGAGGCATGGAGAGGAGGCCGCTTTTCCTTCTCTAAGCTTTATCACCTTGGAAGAGGAGAGACAGCAGTCACCCGAGGATGCATGGATGGAACTTCTCCCTCACTCCCCAGGTCCAACAGCCACTCAGAGAAGGGGAGGGGGCACAGAGTGGGATAGGGAGAAACTAGAGCTGAAGAAACCCCTCCTCTCTTCACCCTTCCTTGGATCAAGAGGGGAAGACAGGAAAGAGAAATACTTTAGGGTCAGGGACTTTTTCTTTTTGATCATAACTGTTTAAACATTTCCCTGAATTATTTCACCTCCTAGAACAGGGCTCCCATGTAAATGAGGACCCTAGCCCCTTGAAAACCAGCTCCTTTGTGGGCAGGGTTGAGAGGGTCTTTGTAGAGGCCTGCAGGCCTTCCCTACATCTCTGTCTCTGCCTCCCAGCTTCTACCTCTGTTTCCCTCTCAGCTCCGTTATGTCCCCCTCCTGCCGCCTCCCAGGCCAAACTGGCCCTGGCAAGGAAAGGATTATCCCAGGTGAACTGAGGAAACACCTGCAGGATGCTTTTTGGAAGGAGGAGACTTCAGTGTCCCCCCAGGACAGAAAGCTGAGAGGAGATTTGCCACCACTACAATGGGTTGAGATCAGACGCCAGGCAGAACTAGAAAGCACTGAACAGGGGAGGAGAGATGGTCTCCTTGGCAGCAGGAAGTCGTTGTCTGCCTTCTCTGGCTTTTCCCCTCTTTCCCACATCCCTTATAAGTTCTGGGGAAGTCCTTGATCTCCAAGGCCCCATCTATACAGGCCTCAGCTACCCGGATAACATTCCATTGACTCTCTGGATACAATCCCAGAGGCAAGTCCAGGCATCCAAACTCAAATGAGGTCTGGAGCTGAGTAATCAGCTGCTGTGGCTATGCAGACATTTTGTTGGGGAACAACCAGCTCCCTACCCCCACCTCGCACAGTGGATTTGGGGTGGAGGAGGGGCAGCCTGTCACTGGGTATCTCCCCACACCCCCCTTCCACCACTGCATTCTGCCTCTTGCCACCTGCAAGTAATTTGGCCAATGGGAGGGCAGTTAAGATTACAGTGTGGAATCCCTCTAGATCTGTGTGCGTTTGGTGAGGAGGGGGCTACCTCCTTTCCCCCCAGACCCTATGTGCCCTTTTCCTCCTCACAGCAGCAAATTACTTGTAATTATCTCACATTGAAAGCCTTCAGGAGCTGCTCCCAAAATTGCTTTAATTGAATTAATTGAATCTCATTTTGTTGTGGGGGAGAATGGGGGGCATGTCTTAAAATGGTATATGGGGAGAGGGCAGGTGAGTGACCCAGAAGGGAGGGAAAGCCCAAGACAGCTTTCTTGTGGCTGAGCCCCTTGTAGGTGATAGCATGGGCCCTGGACATTCTCTGGACACATTTTCCCATTTTCCAGTCTGATCTGTTTTCAGAGGTACAGTGCAGCCAACCCTTTTGCTTTGGGGACCTTGCCTGTGTCCTGCTCTCGGATAGTGGTGACGATGGATGTGTTGAATTCTGTTTCCAGCCCCATTGCTCCTCCTCACTCTCAGGAGGCAGGTGTGCCAGAGGCAAGAGGTGAATGCACGGCAGAATGCATTCACCCTCGCCGTAACCCCTCCCTTCCCCAATAATCATAACAGCAGCTATAAATGCCATTTATTAAGTGCTTACTATGTTCCAGGCACCGTGTCAAGTGTGTTACAAGCACTATCTCATTTTGTCATCACAACCACACTGCAAAGCAAGTCCTATTAGTATTCCCATCTTGGGGGCAGGGTGGGGAACAAGGCTCAGAGAGAGGTGAAGCAACTTGCCAGAAGTCAGTCACACAGCTAGTGTCAGAGCTGGGACTCTGGAGACCAAAGCCCCTTTCTTAACCACTCCATTTTGTTCGCTTCCTTTATTGACCCAATTTTCCCAGCGGGGCTTCCTCATAGGAAGAAACCACAGGGTTTACCTTCAGCCTGGATGGCTTGAAGGAAGGAAACAGGGCATCTCCCTCACTGGGGTCCAGGTCCCTCACCACCCAGGAGCCCAGGTAAACTGGACCAGCCCCCACATGGAAAACAGACTATTTCCCCTGGAAAGGGTGGATGGGGGTAAGGAAGGGGGGCTGCTGTCAGCTCAGCTGGCCTCTCACTGGGAGAGTAATTACACTCCTTCTGCTACTTAACTTTACAACTTGGGCTGTTGTTTTAACGATGCGACTCGTGTTGGGCTGTCCAATTAATCTCGCCTTTGGAGGCTTTCCGAGATGGGGCGGTAGATCTTATCTGGGGCTGTGGAAAGAGGAGTGTGCAACCTGCAGTGGGAGGGAACAGCTGCCCTGAGGGCCTGTGGCCTCAGAGAAGACCCAGGGGAGGGTTCTAGGGCCTGGGTCACTGAGAGCCAGTGGGGACAGGGGCCCGGGGACAGGGGAAGGCATGGGAGGGAGGAAGCGGAAGACGCTTCTCCTCTTGGCACTGCCATTCCTTACTGCACCTGGATCTTAGCTTTGGCCCACCTGTGCCATTTGCCATCCCCAAGACAATCTTCTGTGTGTTTTGGGGAGAAGGGGTGGCCCCTGACCCAGAATGGGGATGAGGAGGGACTGACTGCAGGTCTCCAGAGATGAGGGGCTTCGCTGAACGTCGCACCCCCTCTGACCTATAGATGATCCCAATTTGGGCTTCTGTCTGGCCAGCTGAGGTTGGCTGGAAGTGCCTGAGTGGGCTTTTCAGACTGGGGCAGGCCCTGAGTCTACAGTACCTGGGAACAGGTTTAGGCAGTAAGAGTGAATCTCGACTAAAGAGCTTTTTGCCTGGAATTGAAGGCCCCTCCCCCAACCCCTCAGGCCAGGCTGGACTGGATTCCCTGAATTATTCCACCAACCTTGTCCTCAGCCCCTTCCCATGGCTCTCTTAATCCCTGGGGTGCTGTGTATGCAGTGGGGTTCAGTGGCTGTGAATCTACCACTGGATCCTGTGGCTGCCTGAGCTGCCCACTCTTCCCAACCCCAGCCAGTACGGACGCCATCAGCACAGGCTGGATCAGAGCCCCTTGACAATGCTCATGCCGCTACCACTGGATCCTGTGGCTGCCTGAGCTGCCCACTCTTCCCAACCCCAGCCAGTACGGACCCCATCAGCACAGGCTGGATCAGAGCCCCTTGACAATGCTCATGCCACCCTCCGTACTTCCCTTAGCCTGGGGCAAGTGTCTGGTTGTTTGTCTGGGATACCCCCCCCTCCACCTCCCAGTATCCCAGAGCATCTGCCTAGGTCACCTTGGTATCTACAAACGTTTGTTGGAGGAGAATTCCAGTTTCTCCTGGTGTTTTTCTTCTCCTCCTCCTTCTCCTTCCCCAAGGTGGGCTAAGGCCATTCCACCCCTAAGCAGCGCTGGCTCAGTGGGTGTGTCCTCTCCCAAGGCGAGCAGGGCCTCTCCTTTGGCTGAAGGTGGGGCACAGGGACTGTAAGGTGCCTGGATCTCTCCAGAACTGAGCCAGGAGAGAATTTGCTGGTGAGGATCCCTCTGACCTTGGTCACTCTCTGCATAAACATCTTCCTTTTTCACATTAGAGCATATGAAACTATGGATGATATTAGAACATTCCAAAGCTAGAACCACAGAGCTAGTTAGTGGTGGAGGCAAAACTAGAATCCAGGATCTCTTACTCCTGGTTCAGCGGTAGACAACTCAGATGAGAGGGGAGATGGGCAACCAGCCGCCACCCCGGAGAAGTCAGGAAACAAACACACCTTGAAGCCAGGGACCAGGTTTTTGTACAAATTTAATCTCTGGAAGCTTGTAGTGAGAGGGATGATAAAAGCTTAGGGGATGCCAGTCAGATTGGTTATAAATCTGAGGATGGGTTGGCTGGTTAGCTCAGTTGTTCAGAGCATGGTGCTCATAACACAAAGGTCCAGGGTTTGATCCCTGTACCAGCCAGCCAGTGAGGAAAAAAAAATAAAACTGAGTTCTTTGGACAGACAGCTGTGAAGAGCTGATCTTTAGGGCCTATGCCACCTATTTGGGGGTGTTCTTCCCTCATCCAGAGAGCCCGTTTGTCCCCATGTCCCCCAAAGTGTTACCCTACTGAATTCCCAAGAGCATGTGCAAGTGGGTTTGTTAGGTATCAGGGATGGGGAATAGGAGAGGATCAGCTCTTAATAAATACCTGTTGAATTATATGATAATTGGATCCATTATATACTCAAAATGGGGAAAAGAGGGCTTTTTCAAGAGGACAGCATAAATTACCCATAGGTCTACAAACTCCACTGAGTAGGTGTATCAGTTATCATAATGGTAATGGGCCAACCTCCAGGAATAATTAGTGGGTGGGTGGCCACTAATAAAATTATTAGTGGCCAATAGTGGCCAACTTCTGAACATTCTGAATATCCAGTTCTGCTTTTGCTCACAAATGGGTTGGGCCAGGCCCAAGGCACACAAAGAAAAAAATATTCAGTGTTTCTTGCTGATTTTGACCCCAGGCAGTGGTGGGGCTGCAAGACCAGCGGTCCTGGAGGCAGGCTAACACCAGCCAATGACTCTCTTCAGAGCCTTCGTCCAGCTGGAGGGAAATTGTCCAGTTCATGGCAGTCGTGGGGGGCAGTGGCCAAAGTCCTTGATGTAGCTGTTTGGGTTAGGGGGACAGGACTCCACCCCATCCCTTTTTCTCCTCTAGCTCTTCCTTCTTCTGAGAAAACCCATCTGGAGCTGGTTTTCTCCCGGCCCAGAAGGGGTGCAGGTGGGCTGGGTCCTGGGCTTTGTAGGAGGGCTAGGGCTTGAGCCATCCTTCTCCAGACTCACATCATCTGAGGTGGAGCCAAGACATCTGGGGAGTGATGCTGATACCAGGCTCCGAAGCTGTTGCCGTAGCCACCAGTGGGCAGGGTATCTGCCTTGGGCAGATCCCAGAGGGATGGAAGGGGTGGGGAGCAGGGAGACAGGGAAGAGGGCCTCCCAGTGAAGTCTCCTTCCTGCCCCCCAGAGTTCTGCTTCAGAAGCTTCTTGTATTTGGAGCGTTTGTTCTGAAACCAGATCTTTACCTTTGGGGAGAAAAGGGGAAAGAATGGACGATCAGGAGGAACTTACGCCTGGAAGCGTTTGAGGAAGGGAAAGGGACCCAGTTGTATTCCTGGGAGAAGAGCGGAGGTTGGGAACATTTGCTCCAGTCCCCGTAGCCACGGAGGTCCCCTGAGTTCCTGCCTGCGAGCTAGTCCCCAGTTTTCCCTATCTGGTGAACTCTCCTGTACCTGAACCAACCCTCACCCCCCAACCCCACACACATCTTTTAACATATTTCCCCAACACTTACTGAGGGCCGGCTATGAACACTCCCTGGAGAACTGTGAAAACAGGGCCACTGGACTCATCAGTCATTCACACCGGGGGTGGGGGGTGGGGGGCGGCGGGAGAGTGTTCCCAGAGAACACACGGGAAGGTTGGAGCTCCGGAAGGATGGAACTGGCCGCACCTGGGTCTGGGTGAGGCCGAGCTGCGCTGCCAGCTGGGCCCTCTCGGGCAGCGCCAGGTACTGCGTGTGCTGGAACCTCTGGTTTAGGTGCTGCAGCTGCAGGCTCGAGTAGATGGTCCTCGGCTTGCGTAGCTTCTTGGTCGGGGCCTGCGGTCGCCGCTCCGAGGGCTCCGGGGACAGCGGCGGCTTCTCCGAGTCTGTGGGGGAGCGCAAGACGGTGGGGGAGGGGGCGGAGTGAGAGGAAGAACGGACGGCTCCGTCCGCTCATTTGCATCTCGTCTGCATGCGGCTGCGGATTAGCGTAGAGCGCAGCCACCAGGGTCGGTCCCTGCCCCTCGCTACCGTCTTAACGCTCACGTTTGCTGTGCGCCAGGTGGTACCAGACGCAGTTCTGCCCTCAGGGAGCTCCCACTCTTGTGGGTCCTGTGACCTTAGGAAAAAAGCGCCAAGGGCCACAGCGAGGGTACCGTGGCGCCTGCGGGGGGAGGTCGGAGTTCAGCCGGGTGCGGTGGCGCCAGCTTGGGGCAGGGCGGGGCAGAAAGGCTCGGTCGGGGGCTGGGCTGAGGCCTACACATGGCGGGGGAAGGGCATTCCAGGCGCAGGGAACTCAAAAGCAATGCTCAGAGGCCCGAGGTGGCGTCCGCGTGGCAGCCTCCAGCTGCCGGAAGAGGGGTGGGTCAGAGGAGTCCGCCGGGCCGACCTTGAATGCCAGCATCACAGTGTGGAAAGTGACCCCCAGGCTTTGCCATCGCCTTACATACTGTAACGGGCCGCCCTTTTCCTGAGGCGCACCCAGCAGAAAAAGTGACCGTCTGTCCCCTCCGCCATAGCCAGCTGGCTCGGGGAGACGGTTTCCACGGACCCCAGAAGCCGGGTCGGCGTAGGGCAGCCCCCTCCTCCGCTCGGCCACACGCACAGAGGGGTTCTCGCGTGTTAGGGAAGGTGACCCGGGCTCGGAGACTGCGCAGCGCGCGGCAGCGCGGGCAGACTCGGCCGCTCCTGGATCGCACTGGGTTGCCGCCGCGGGATATCTGGTCACCTCCTGTCCGCCTCGCTCTCCAGGAATCTCGGCCGTGGGACAGCACGGGCCTAGAACGCAGGGGGCGAGAGGCTTCTTGTTCTTCAAAGCTGGTGTCCCCAACCTGCGCCACTCTATGGGGACACCGGAGACCGTCCCAAGGGGATGGGAGGAATAGGGTGAATGAAGCGGCCGGAATGCCCGCGGGCTTGGGGCAACGCTGGCCGCATTCCACGCAGTTCTGTGCCACCGACCCCAGCCCAGAGAGCGCACGGCCCAGTGCCCAGACGCGACTTGTGTCCGCCTGCGTCCCCCCGCCCTTCTTCTTCTAGTAGTGCTCACGCCACACACGTCAGGGTCCCCGCCCTCGGCCAGCCGCGGTCACTAGTTGCCTTCACCTCCCCCACATCCCTTCCCCGCGGCCTCGGGCGCTGCGGGCTTCTCAGATCCTCCCCCCTCGACCCCTGCCTCAGCCAATTCCCAGAAAAACCGTTGGGTTTCCGCTCCCGCCCGCGCCTGTCCGGCCTCCCCTGCTCCGACCCCACCGCTCGCAGCCCCGGGCTGGCAGCCGAGCGACCACCCGCGCCTCTCTGGCCGCGTGGACCGCGCGATTCGGGCGGTGACGCAGAGAGAGCTGCGGAGGCAGACCCGGCTGAAGTGGCAGAGCCTTCCGCTCAGAGCGGACCCCCTCCAAGTTCCTTCCCGACAGCTGCCTCTCTTCACACCAGTTACAGCAAGTCACGACTGGATCTGCCTTCGTCGCGATAATGGGGCCCCAGGGCCTCCCTCGAGGCGCCGCCACTTGGCGACGCGGCTCACTTGGAGCCAAACCTCTCCCGGAGGCGGGGGTGGACCTAGAGCGGGATACAAGGAAGACCCCAAGTCCTCTCTCATACCCCAATCATTTCACTCGAGGGTGGGCCGAACCCAGTTCCAGTGGAGAAATGCTACAATCCATTCTAAGGACGTGTGTGTGTGCGTGTGCGCCTGTGTGTGTGCGTCTGTGCGTGTGTTTCTGCTTTTTCGTTGGATCCGGGGAAGTCCTTAAAGAAAACGAACTCTCCACTTAGACCAAGCAAAGAGAAGACAAGGAGTGTGGGAGACAGGACTGAAAACACTGATCCCGTTGCCAGCAATTCTCTTAAGGACAAGGTCATGTTATTCCCATCCCACTCCACCCACTTACCCATCTACCTACCCACACACACACCATATTAGCATACACTTAAAGGACAAGTCCAAGGGATTCATTTGCATAAACCAGATCTGTAAGCCCCCCCTCCCAGAACTGCCTCTCCTCCAGCCACACCCAGCAGCCTGGGAGAGGCAGTGCCAGTTCTGCCACAGGAGGCAGTTAACGTTTTGGGGTGGGGGTGGGGGGGGTACTGAGGAATTTCCCTAAAATCCTCGTTCCTAGCCCCATGCAGTGAAAGCCGATTTGCAAAGGGCCAAGAGCCTAAGAAACAGGCGTGTGTCCTTGATGCACGCACACCCTTTCTTTGGGCCTCAGTTTGCCCATCTGTACATCAAGGAGGTTGAGCTCCCAAATGCTAGGGCCACTTCTGGCTTTGATGGTTTGTGAGCTCATAAGTCAGAGTGACAGGAGAAGGGAGATATAGGACTTAGTCCTGGGCTGACTACAGCAGTCATCTGGTGAATGTGCATCCTTGGAGGAGACTGCCAAAGACAATTGTGGGGGCAATTAGGTGGGGACAGGGAGTGCAGGAGACCTGGAGTCTAAACCGGAGCCAGTGCAGATGGGTGTATGTATAGTGGCATGGACACCGCTGGAGCCCACACTGTATGTCAGCTCAGATGTGCAAGGCCCGGGGCCAGGAAAATGGCTAGCTCCTAGGTGCCATTGAGGCGTCCTGTGACCACTTTCTCAAGAGCTCAAAGTTGCTCCAGGCAAAGGGAACCGGGGCCTACCCTGCCTCATAGTGAGGGGGTGGAGATGACAGGGATAGCCTTTGGAAGGCTCAAGTAGCCAGGGAGAGATGAGAGGCCTGACCAGCCTGTACTTACATTCTTAGAACAATGGGTGGAGGGGTCCTAGCCCCAGATTCTGCCAGAACAGTTTACAGTCAAGGTTAAGCATGGTCTGGGGAGAGGGGCTGGGGCCCGGGAAGGGAGAGGAAGGAGCCCTGAATTAAGCCTCAACATCTATCTTATTTGTCTTTGTCAGGGTTGGGCTTGAGCGCTGCTTTCTGAGACAAGAGGAACGCGAAGAGGGGCGACATAGGGAAGGGAGGGAGTGCAAGACAGGGAGAATCCCGCGGACGGGACTAGGTCCCCACCCCCACATCTGGATTGTTTCAGTTTTCCGTTACACATAGGTACACACAACCCTGCTGCTCCAGGGGGTGGGGTAGGGACACCCCCCCCCCCC